CAAAATGACCTTCGTTCCGCAAATCTACATAACATGCCTACTTATCCTAAAAAGGTTTCCCCTTAATCGGATGTGTACTTTACAAGATCTTTCGCGGACAAAATTTTCCCGAGAAGAAAAATAATAATAATAATAATAACTAGTGCTAATTGTAACGGGAACCGTTACAGATGTTCCCCAAACGCTCCCCAACTCCCTTTCGGTGCCATATTCCCTGTAAGCTTCATTAAATAAGACAAACTCTGTGCATTTTTGACTTTAACAACGTTTTTCCAGAAGGATACCAATTATATTCAATTTTTAGCATTGCACCCAAGCGCATGTGAATGCATTTGCGTTGTGACCATATCATCTTGTCTTTCAAGAGTAGTTTTAGATATACTCGTTTCAAATGCACGCACGTGCGTGCACGTGCATGATGATCATACCTTCTTGTAGGAGTCCCTTACATCTATCTATGTTCTAAATCCCATCCTGTTTGGTTGAAAAACAAGGGAGTTATAGCCGTTTAAAGTTTCAGCCAATCAGATTGCAGCACACGTGCATGCGCGTAATTTCATGATTTTTTTTTAATATCATTTTGTAGGATATCCTAATGCATGACTATATTTTAAATTTCAAAGAATTTCGTCAAAAAACAAAGGAGAAATAGCAATTTAAAGTTTCAGCCAATCAAATTGCAGCACACGTGCATGCGCGTGATTTCATGATATTTTTTCTATATCATTTTGTAGGATATCCCAATGCATGACTATATTTTAAATTTCAAAGAATTTCGTCAAAAAACAAAGGAAATATAGCCATTTAAAGTTTCAGCCAATCAGCTTGCAGCACACGCACATGCGCATGCTTTCATGAAAATCCTTATATATCATGCGGTAGATCTTTATAATGTAGGACTATGTTCAAAATTTCAAAGGATTATGACAAGAAACAAGAAAGTTATTGATACTTTAGTTTCAGCCAATCAGAGCAAAGCGCACGTGCATGCGCGTGAAATCTTGCTATTTTGACCATGCTATCTTGTCTATACTACTAATGTATCCTTACATTATGAGTTTCAAAAAATTTCATCAAAAAATAGAAAAGTTACGGCAATATCCATTATATTGGTAATTTCACCTAATGCACGTGCGCGCTCTTGCAAGCACGTGCGCGCAAAATGACCTTTGTTTGGCAACTCTACATAACATGCCTACTAACCCTAAAAAGGTTTCATCTAAGTCGGATGTGTAGTTTACAAGATCACTCGTGGACAAAATTTTCCCAGGAAGAAGAAAAATAATAATAATAATAATAATAATAATAAGAAACAGAGTAAAAACAATATGTTCCCCAACTTCGTTTGGGGAACATAATAATAAGAAACAGAGTAAAAACAATATGTTCCCCAACTTCGTTTGGGGAACATAATTAATAATTAAGACATTTTCTCTTCATACAGTAAGGGTTACGTAGGGGGGAGTCGTTTCTGGAAAAACACATAGGCATTTTAATTTTCACACCTAGGAAACTTGCATCATTAATTTTGTTGAAGCTATAATTACAGTTTATATACACATTGTGGCTTGGGTATGTTGTGAATTTCACAAAGGAAACGACCGTTAGGGATTAGTAATGCTTCATTGCTCAGGACACCTGTGCACCTGTTGATCAACTGAGAGTACGTCTGAGAGTTTATTATACAACAAATCATGTACAGTTGTGTACATGAATTTAAAAAAATACATGTACAGAGGTTTAATGAATCAAGTTTAGATAAAATAATTTTTAACTGGTTTTATTCATTCCTTACACAAAGAAAAAAAAATTGATGTGGGATAATGCAACACCCTGTAAGATTCTGTATACAGGTATGTTACAACGCACTTTGAAAAATTACGCACTTTGAAAAATTTTTTCAAAGTGTGTTAAAATTTGGGACCAAGCTAACGCACTTTGAAAAAAATATTTTTTTTTCAAAGTGCGTTAATTTCGACCATCTTAACGCACTTTGAAAAAAAATGTTAAGATTGATCAATATTCCTTCAAATAATCGGTATGATAAATAACAGATCCTGGTTTGATAACTTTTTTATGTTAAAGTCACTGTAGGACCTGAGATATTGACGTTTTAAATTTAAGGTTTTGATAAAATAAAAGGGAAAATTAAAGGATCTTGAAAAAAAGAGTGAAGGTTGTTCAAGTTCATTAATTCGTTTCTTCTTCTTTTTTTTTAAATTCTAGTCTTTGATAAGTAGATGTAAAGGTGTATAGGGGGCACTAGCAGAGGACAGCTTCAAGCAACTTTACATTTATCATAATACTAGTAAAAAGGGGCCATTTTGATTGTTCAAAACTATGAAAATTCTTTCTCTATCATACGTTTTAATGTACTTAAAAATTTCTAGTTTTCATCTGTTTTAATTAACTTATTTATCATTGAAAGTTTTCAACGTCATACCAGTTAGGTAAATACATAATTATATGAATGCTTTGAGTATAGCATAGACATCGAGACTGGGCGAAGGGCCAGGGGAGGGAATGTTACCGACACCTATGTATTGAAAAGATAAAGATTTGGACTGAGGGATCTTATACCCGCCTTCTCCTCTTTTCGACGGGAGTAAATCAATTCATTTTTGAGGTTAGGGTTAGGCTTAGTTTTTTGAAAGATAGATAACAAATAAAATCTTTCCATGACTAAAATATGATTTTTTTTTTCAAAGTGCGTTAAGTGTCTCCATGGTAAAATATATTGATGTAGACTCTTAACGCACTTTGAAAAATTTTTTCAAAGTGCGTTGAGTTGGTGAAATTTAACGCACTTTGAAAAAATTTTTTCAAAGTGAGTTAATTTTGTCCCAATTTTAACGCACTTTGAAAAAAAATTTCAAAGTGCGTAATTTTGTTCAAAGTGCGTTGCCACACAGGTATTTTATTAATTTTCTTGGATTCATTAAATTTAGTTTGAATTCATCCATAAAAGTAAAAGCATCTTCTTAATAAAAAAAAAATATAATAATTTAAGTGAGATCACTAATGTCCAATACCTAACTTTCTTGTATATTTTGTGGTGAAATACATAATATAAACACAAAACTGACATATTAAATTTGTAAATAAAATCTTTTTAAAAAAGATGAACCTATTTTCAAAGGTCACCTCTCTATAAAGGTCACTTTTGATGGATCCTGTAGGTGACTGCTTAATACAAGTTTCACTGTACTTGATTTTGGTGCAAGATTGGATTTGTTTGACACATGATGTAGAAAAAATGAGGAGTGGATCAATCCATATCAATTTATTATCAATTTATTAAATATTGATTGATTGTAATTTAACGTCCCTCTTGAGAGTTTTTCACTCATATGGAGACGCCACCGTATGCCGGTGATGGTCTTCAAATTTTGACCTTTTCTCGGCACTCGGGGCCATTGAGCAGTGAGGGATCTTTATCGTGCCAATACCTGCCGCTGATGCCTGACGCTGCCGGGGCCTGGGTTTTTAAGGTCTCATCCGAAGGACCCGCAACTTTTTCTTCAAAGTGCCGAGCGCATGGCGAAGGAACAGTTGGTACCCATTTTTTATCGACTTAGGTCAGTCGCGGCCGAGATTCGAACTCAAGACCTCCCGATCACGGAGAAAGCGATCTACCGACTGAGCTACAGTGAACGGTTTTAAATATTGAAGTAAAGGTAAAAATTTACTCTTTTTTATATTAGATGATAAAAGAAAACAAACAGTACAAAAAATGCACCAGGAATGATGATTTGATATTGTTTGCATTTACATAAACAGAGGCTATAAGGAAATCAGCTAAACCACGTCACCATGTGTCCTCCCCTCCCTTTATTAAGGAAAGCATATGACATGTTAGCGTCTCCCCAAACCTTCCCCGTACCCCTTTCTAGAGACTTGGCAATAACCCTGCCTTAAATTTAATTTTGAAGTGGTCCTTTATTTCATATCTAATTATTCGACATTTAAGCTTTTATGTCTTTTTAATTTATAAGCGAACAAAAAATACGAATTGTATGCAATCTGTTGATCTTGAATGTAACCATAGGATCCACACATTTCCTACTGGTTATTAACATTTAGGCCTAAATATATCAAATAAAATTTGGCCACAAGCGAAAAAAAGGATGATAGCCCCATAGCATGGGATTTGTTTTGGTGATATTTATGCATACAATACGGTATAAATAAAAGCTGACCTGGTCGAACATTTAAAAAGAAACAGATCGAGACAGACAAGAAAGGTCGATTTTTACCTCTCATGTATTCCAGTAGCAGTCTTGCCAAACGCCTCCTCATATAGCAAAATAGTTTACATGTGGAAGAGAAGTGTGTTGTCCACTGACTTCTGGGGATATATTTTCCTCCTAGGGCCGCTACACACGTTAAGGTTTGCCTTATAAGCATAGAACTTAAGACCAATTCTCTGTAATCACCAAAATATTTTGGCACGCATAGTTACAGATTTGAATTTTTATATCATAATTTAATACAGGTGTGTGAGTGATTGTAAAATCTAAAAATAGTTTTTGAATTGTAACCTTGGTTGCCGTAGAAACGGGATACAAACTTTCTCATTTTTGTAAATCATGAAAATCTGTACTTTTCATGAAAAACCATGTCTAGAAATGAACAGAGATATCTAAATTTGTGTTTATTGTTGTTATCCAATACTAGAGATTCAAACAACAATGTTTACAGTTCAATTTTAATTTTACACTCGTAAGTGGTCATGTTATGCATTGCAAAATGTCAAAAATATAGTAAAATTTGCTCAATATTTTAAGACGTAAAACAAAAAAATGCAGCTATCTACAAATTAAGCAATAATAAAATATGAAAGGTTGATATTTGATTATAATTAAACAATTAAAAAATTGGTGGGCAAATGATATGTGTTATAGAAATTCAAAGGTGAATATCCATTTTTTCTGCATTTTGAAGCATTTTTTGCTTACCAATTACATGTACTTCCCTTTGATTACTCTCTCGCGTTTGGAGGTACAATATGTAGGCACTTGTAGTGGTAAACAAATAATTTGGTGAGAAAACCTATCAAAGCGGGTCCGGGGTGAGGATTGGCAGTGTGGAAGAAGGAAAAAGGCCAAGATAAGAAGACAAGAGGTAATTATAAATATTACAAACGCTAAGTATGTATACTTATTTCTCCATTTAATTGTCTTGCATGCATGTAACCCGAGATTCCTCTGCTATGAATTGTGACACTTGAAGGGGCCTCTGCCCTGACTCTCCCCGGTACATTTCACAATAAAAAATTACATAAAAATACATGTAGATGGTAGAGCATGAAAACATACATCAGGTCAGACACAATCTCCTTATAATTATATATAACCAGGTCCAGTACACTGAATTGATGTAAATAAATACATGTATAGAGATAGCAAGGCCTTTATTTCAAAGCAACTTTTTAATTTTTTTCCCTTTTTATTAAGAAAAGAAAAAAAAAATCGCAAGTAAATAACTACAATGTATTTAATATTTATACTAGGGAGGTTTTAAAAACAATTCAAAGCAGAGATAATTTGAATTTTTTTTGTTTGGAGAAGGGGGGGGGGAGTGGGTGTCTCCTTCAGCAGGTTTGAAAAAATGTAAAAATGGGATAATTATAATAGCTGATCTGAAATATACATGTATTCTAAATGAAATGCAAATTTTCAGTACCAAAAGGGGGGGAAGATTATATTTCTAATTTTTTTTCTTGCAAATCTACAATGCCTCAATGGAGAATCAATTCTCTAAAAGGAAAAATACAGAAAAATTGCCTGCAAAGGTCAACGCTTTCCATATAAATTTATGGGACTGAAAAAAATTATAGCCTAATATTTTGCACTGTAAATTTCTATCCCATGCGTTCATATCATTATTGATAAAGTAGTTCTTGATCTGTACATTTTTTGTAAAGATAATATATGACTTTCCTTTTGATGATGTTGACAGAAAGATAATTAATATATATATTGATTTTTATTATAAAAGTAGTCAATTTTTATCTTGAATTTAGTGATTTTTAACATGATTAGATTATATTCTTATTTTTTGTTTTTTTTTTCAAAGGATTCACCAAAGAGGATGAAAAAGAAAAGGAACATGAGCAAATACACATGTAAATCATAGCTATAATAGAATTCTAACGAAAGCTTGGAGTTAATTTTGGAAAAGACAATTTCAGGAATTGGGACAGCTTATAGATGCATATCTCTTCAAGGTAACCAGTTTCAAAAATCAAATCTAAATTGTTACAAAAACACAGCACTACACGTAGTAATGGTCTGCTTGTTTCTTATTTATTGATCAAATTGATTTTAAAATCATTATAATGTATGCATAGATCAAAGAAAACTTGTTTAACAGTTTAACATGCACAACTGTCAGAATGATAATTAGAAAAACACCTTTCTTGATTTAGGGTTTGTGTTTACATTTATGTGTATATTTAATTCAGTTTGATGTCTATCTTCATTTGAAGATATTGAAAATTGTTTTTACTTCTGCAGGTAGAAAAAAGTCATCTGAAATATATGACTAAAGATCCAACATCATAAAGTTTATAATGAAATCAGTAACATGCTAAGATGAATATAACAAAATCACCAAACAACGGTGAAGCCTTGGAGACATGGCATTGAATTTTTTCCTTAGAAAGTACCAAGGTGTCTGTTACTAATAATTTAGTTTCCCAAACAAGGAGCAATGTAGCTGGCTTGTAAGAGTGATTTTCCTGAAGATGAAATTGGAAATGAGAATATTCATGTGTGTCTCCATACTGGAAATTCACAAGATTCAACCATATTTCTAATCGACTCAGTGAGGTCATTATTTAAAGCAATATGAGCTGCATGTTTGACATCGGAAAAAAAATATTGGAAATTTGTAATTAACTATTTCAATGACAGGAAAATAGAACGTTAATAAACTTCTGTTGTTCATATGTGCTTTTGAAGAACTTTTTAGCTCACCTCAACGAAGTTGGGGGAGCTTATGTAATACCCTCGGCGTCGGCGTCGGCGTCGGTGTCGGCGTCGGCGTTGGCGTCCCAGGTTAAGTTTTTTGGAGCAGTTTTCTTTTTAAGTACTTCTATGTCCTATATTGATTAGACATGCAGGGAAGATGCTTCTAATGTGTTTCATTGTACCAGTCAAAGTTTCAGATGCTGCAATTTCAGCAAAGTAATGGTCAGGTTAATGTTTTTGGAGCAGGTTAACATTTTTGGTGCAGTTTTTGGTGCAGATTTCATTTCCAAGTAACTATAAGCCCTATGTTGACCAAACTTGCATGGTTGATACATCTAAGGATGCATACTATCAGGCTTGCTTCGGATGCTGAATCTGACCTACATTTTCCGGTTGAGTGAACAGGTTAAATTTGTTGGTGCAGGTTTCATTTCCAAGTAACTATAAGCCCTATGTTGACCAAACTTGCATGGATGATACATCTAAGGATGCAAACTACCGGGCTTGCTTCCGATGCTGAATCTGACCTACATTTTCCAGTTGAGTGAACAGGTTAAAGTTTTTGGTGCAGGTTTCATTTCCAAGTAACTATAAGCCCTATGTTGACCAAACTTGCATGGATGATACATCTAAGGATGCATACTATCAGGCTTGCTTCAGATGCTGAATCTGACCTACATTTTCCGGTTGAGTGAACAGGTTAAATTTTTTTGGGCAGGTTTTATTTCCAAGTTACTATAAGCCCTATGTTGACCAAACTTGCATGGATGATACGTCTAAGGATGCATACTACCGGGCTTGCTTCGGATGCTGAATCTGACCTACATTTTCCGGTTGAGTGATAAGGTTAAAGTTTTTGGTGCAGGTTTCATTTCCAAGTAACTATAAGCCCTATGTTGACCAAACTTGCATCGATGATACATCTAAGGATGCATACTATCAGGCTTGCTTCGAATGCTGTTTCTGATCTACAATGTACATTTTCCGGTTGAGTGAGCAGGTGAAAGTTTTTGATGCATAATTCATTTCCAAGTAACTATGACTTCTTTAATGACCAAACTTGCACGGATGATACATCAAAGGATGCATACTACCGGGCTTGCTTCAGATGCTGAATCTGACCTACATTTTCTGGTTGAGTAAACAGGTTAAAGTTTTTGGTGCAGGTTTCATTTCCAAGTAACTATAAGCCCTATGTTGACCAAACTTGCATGGATGATACATCTAAGGATGCATACTACCAGGCTTGCTTCGGATGTTGAATCTGACCTACATTTTGTGGATGAGTGAAAATGTTAGTTTGTGATGAATGTATCATTTCCAATTAACTATGAGCCCTATAATGAGCAAACTTGCATGGACAATACATCTTAGGATGCACACTAATGGACTTACTTTGGATGCTGAATTCGACATACATTTTTTCAGATAATAGACCAGGTAAAAGTTATGGGTGCAGGTCAATTACCAAAAAACTTGAAGGCTTATATAACATTGTATAAACCAAACCAAACTTGCACAAATGTTGCATCAGGAGATGAAAACTCTCAAATTTGCTTCAGATGCTTAATTTTAATTACATTTTCATGAACAACTAGTTTAAATTTTTTATGTACCGGTAGGTCTATTTCAATGTATTCGATCAAAATTGCTTAAATATTTTCATTTCTGGAATGTACACTTTTTGTTGGTTAATTGTGTGACTTTGCCTTACTTAAAGACAACATTCGTTGAGGTGAGCTCTGTAATCTCTGATTACCTATGTTTATAAGCTTGTATTGGAACAAATTTGAATTATTGTCGTCCTGTACAATAATGATTTCTTATGTAATACTGTATATTGGGTTGTACAGAAATATTTCTTCTGCAATATTTTTAAACTTTATTTGGCCTTATTGATCATAAGGGATTAGATTACATACAGATTAATCAAAATTACACATTTTACAAGCAAAATAAAATTATCAAAAATGCAACTCATATTGCTTTAAGGAAGCTCTTAACAGCACACTAAAGAGCTCTACTCAAAGGAGTAGTTGTATGCAGTAAGAGTGATCTGCTCTTAGAATTCGGATAGAAAAAAAATCGTTGCTTACCTATTTCACAATTATTGAAACATTTTTACTAGCATTATCTTAGACAAAGAATAAGTAATTGAATTAATATTCAAATTTATTTTCTTAAAGTCAACAACAGTGTTTTCTGTTCATGAATAATTCATAACATTTTTCGAGTAGAAATAATGCAGGTACTTGTTGAAAATGAACTTATATAGTCTCAATGTGTATACCTTTATATGATAATTTTTTTCCTTAATAGAAAGTCTGTAGATCACTTCCTGATACACATGTATTGTTTAGAGCTACTTTAAATTGCATATGATATGGTTTGCTAATTAAAATACATTGTAGCTAATAATTTTGATGGAGGTTTGAAAAAAAAATTCACAAGCCAACAATTCTTGTCCAATACGTTATAGCCTTTTGTGCTATCATATGTAGCAAGTAAATTTGTATTTTTTTGTGTTTTGGATTGAAGTATTTTGTTTCATGTTCATATTTTATAAAAACATGTAATTTAGAAATTATGATGCAGCCTTATTAACTGCAGTAATGAGTAATGGAAGAGTTTTTGTATTGTGCTAGAAATGGTTGGGGGTGTC